AACCTTCATTGCCTGATATTATGTTGTTTTCAACTGTAATATAAATTTTAGTTTATTTTGGACTAGTGCATTTGATTCATTATAGGGTTACCCATGGTTCAAAAGAGCCCATTTGAATCAAGAGATGATATTTAAGATTCCTCCTGCTTTAAGACAGGGTGAGAAATAAAATATTCTTGGGGCTGTTTCAGTGGGGGTTTGATTTTGTAATACTTCTGAATTTATGCAAATTCTGTTAAAACCTTCCCAATTGGAATTTTATGGAATGTGGATTACATCTTAGTAAAAAAACAAACAATATCCTTTCCAATTGGGAGTTAGAAGACCAAAGTTCCAATTACTATCATGTGACCTCACGTAAATGTAACTCCCCTCCCCCCCATGTGTCGTTTTTCTCAGACACCAACTCTCAGGGGGTCCTGATCTTCAAACAAGATTATGTACACGGCCCTGGCCAGTGTGGCTAGGTTGGTTGAGCATCGTATCATGCACCAAAATGTTGCAGGTTAGATTCCCAGTCAAGGCACATGCCTGGCTTGTGGGCTCAATTCCTAGTAGGAGGCATGCAGGAGTCAGCCAATCAATGTTACTCACATAGAAGGTTCTTTTTTTCTCTCTCCCTCCCCACCTCTCCCTTTCTCCCTCTCTAAAATCAATAAAAACATATTTGAAAAAAAATTATGTATATGATGAAACAAATGCCAGAAACTAGTTGTTTTTTATTTATAATCACCAAAGCAAGAAACAACCCAGTCCACTGGTGACAGGTAAATAAACAAAAAAACAAAACTGGGATGTAGCTATACTATGAAATACAAGCCAGGCTTAAAAAGGAAAAAAAAACCAACCTACTGATATGTCAGTAACATAGATGGATCTAAAAAACATTATGCTGCCCTGGCCAGTGTGGCTCAGTTGGTTGGAGTGTTGTTCCGTACACTGAAAGGTCGTGGTTTGATTCCCAATTGGGGGAATCGGTAAATGTTTCTCACATTGTTGTTTCTCTTTCTCTCTTCCCACCCCCTACCCTCTCTCTAAAAATCAATAAACATGTCCTCAGGTGAGGACTAAAGCAAAAACCCCAAAACAATATGCTTTGTAGCAGAAGCTAAGCACACAAGACTACATGATGAATTATTCCATTTATACAACATTCTGAAAAGGCAAATTGTGGGAATAGAAATCAGGTCAGTGGTTGCTACGGAGGGGAGGGGGCTAACTCTGAAGTTTTATGAGGGGCCTTTTTTGGTGTGATGGATATTTTGTATCTTGACTAGAGGCCTGGTGCACAAAATTAATGCATGGGTAGGGTCCCTAGGCCTGGCTGGCGATCAGGGCCAATTGAGGCCTTTTGGCTGCCAGCCGGGGCCTTCCTTCATTCTGTGCTGCCCCCTGGTGGCCAGCGCACGTCATAGCAAGTGATAGAACTCCTGGTTGAACTCCCGTGGGGACCCTTTGCGTATTAGCCTTTTATATATCTACTAGAAGCCCGTTGCACGAAGATTCGTGCAATAGGCCTTCCTTCCCCTGGCTGCCGGCACTGGGTTTCCTCCGGCACCCGGGACCCAGGCCTTTGGTCCGGCCACAGTGGAGAAGCCAAGCCTCTTCAGTCTTCAGTCCGGCCGGAGCCTTCAGTCTTCACTCCATGCCTGTGTATGCAAATTAACCGCCATCTTTGTTGGGTTAATTTGCATACTCATCTGATTGGCTGGTGGGCGTAGCAGAGTGACACCAATTTGCATGTTTCTCTTTTATTAGTGTAGATAGACTAGAGGCCCAGTGCACGAAATTCGTGCACTTGGTGGGAGCGGGTGGGTCCCTTAGCCCTGCACCCTTTCACAGTCTGGGAGCTCTTGGGGGATATCCGACTGATGGCTTAGGCCCACTCTACCCAGGCCTAAGCCAGCAGTCAGACATTCTTAGTGCTGCTGTGGAGGCAGGAGAGGCTACCGCCACCACTGCTATGCTTGCCAGCTGTGAGCACGGCTTCTGGCTGAGCAGTGCTCCCCCAGTGGGAGCACACTGACCACCACGGGGAAGCCCCTGCATTGAGCGTGTGCCCCCTGCTGGTCAGTGCCCATCATAGTGATCGGTTGTTCCGCTGTTTGGTTGATTTGCATATTAGCCTTTTATTATATAGGACTGTGGTGGTAGCATATAACTACTCATTTATCAAAACTCATCGAACTGTATACTTAAAAAGGGTGAATTTTGCTCTATGTAAAATATGCCTTAATAAACATGGCTCCCGCCCTAACCGGTTTGGCTCAGTGGATGGAGCATCGGCCTGCAGACTCAAGGGTCCCAGGTTCGATTCTGGCCAAGGGCATGTAACTTGGTTGTGGGCACATCCCCAGTAGGGAGTGTGCAGGAGGCAGCTGACTGATGTTTCTCTCTCATCGATGTTTCTAACTCTCTATCCCTCTCCCTTCTTCTCTGTAAAAATCAGTAAAATATATTAAAAATTTAAAAAATTAAAAAATAAATAAACATGGATCCCCATAAAAATATAGTGCTGCCCAAATACAAGGTACATTATCAGTAGCACTTTTCACGGAAATCCTGAAATACCTCTGTGAAATATGACATTTGTTAAAATAAATACAATCCAGCCCTAGTTGGTTTGGTTCCATGGATAGAGCCTCAGCCTGCAGACTGAAGGGTCTTAGGTTCAATTCCAGTCAGGGGCACATGCCCGGGTTGCGGGCTCAATCTCCAGTGGGGGGCGTGCAGGAGGCAGCCGATCAGTGATTCTCTCTCATCATTGATGTTTCTATCTTTCCCTCTCCCTTCCTCTCTGAAGTCAATAAAAATATATTTTTTTAAAAAAAGAAAATTATGAGTACAGAATATGGTCCACAAGTCACTGCTCTTTCCAGTGCTGCATGGACCTGGTGTGAGGTATTTACTAAATAAATAAATAAATAAATAAATAAATAAATAAATAAAAAAAATACAATCCAAAAGAGACCAAATATGCTTAGGAAAGTATTTGTTGTTGGGTTATCTGTGTTTGAAAAGTCCATTTCTACAGTCTAGCAAATGCTCATGTATTAGGTCCCCTTTGGGACCAGCTGGCCATTTGGACTAATAGAATTTCCTTGTCATAACATACAGTTAAAAACAATCACCAGAGTAAAGAGAAACAACAGTATCAGACCTGAACATTTTCCTCAACCCCAACCAGATAGTACTTTTTCCTCCAGGGAAAGAATATCCTCTCTTGGCCTGACCACTGCCATCTTAAGGAACACTATGCTCCAAAAGTAAATAAAATGCAAAATAATAACCTACAGCTAAAGACCAGGTTAACAGACAGCAGATTTCTAAGCAGAATAGTAGCAAGAGTGAATTGATACAAAGTGCTAATGGTAAGAAGGAATCTACCTCAAATCCCCCAGCATTGCAGCAAAATCCTTGCCTAACACTCTTGGGCTCTGATCAATGCTCCTCATTCAATAGGTTATAACTGTGACATTCTGATACAACAAAGGGGTTGGAATAGTTCCTGGAGTTCATAATGGGATCTGAACTATATAGCAAATGGGAGTGAGGATATAATCTCCTCTTGATAGAAATCATACTCTTGGTTATCTCTGCCCTCAGCTTATCACCCTACTCCCCCAGGGCCCAATAGAGCCCTGCCCAAAGTAGGTGCTCCAAGAATGTTTGAGTCAGGTAACAGGTGTTCCATTGCTCTTGGAAGGTGTCCTTTGGAAGATGGGTGCCCAGTCTGGCTGCCTTACACTAAAGACTCATCTATGACCTATGTTAAAACAGAGCAACCATCAAACCAACTTCCCCAGCCCTACCTGGTTTGGCTCAGTGGATAGAGCGTATGCCTGCAGACTGAAGGGTCCCAGTTTGATTCCAGTCAAGGGCACATGCCTGGGTTGCAGGCTCAATCCCCAGTAGGGGCTGTACAGGAGGCAGCCAATCAATGATTCTTTCTCATCATTGATGTTTCTATTTCTCTCTTCCTCTCCCTTCCTCTCTGAAATCAATAAAAAAATTTTAAAAACAAACAAACAAACAAAAACCAAACCAACTTCCCCAGACTTACTCTTCTAAAGCCAGGCAGGTTTGTTTGTTAATAGTCCTGTCATGGCGGGTCTACCCACAGTCTCATTTCATTTCAACTAACAATAGGATCTATTACCAGGTGGGGGTGGGGAGGAGTGGAACTGATTGATGCCAAATGTTGGGGTTCCTGAGCTGAAAAACACGTCTCTTATCAAGAAGCCCACAGGCTGGTAGAAAAAAGAATCTTGGAGAAAAAAAATTACACAAATTTGATAATGATGAGTTCAGCTTTGGTTGAACAGGCATTGTGCTAAGTGAGCTGCTCAATAACCCTGTGAGACAAGAACAATACCTGGTTTACAAATGGGGAAACTGAGGTTCTGAGAGGTTAGGAGTTTGCCTGAGGTCACACGGTTGGTAGCACAGGGCCCAGAATTAGAACCCTAGTCGTCTGACTCTAGATCCTCCACGTCTGGCCCCTGCAGCAGAGGTCTGGAGGAGACCTGAGAAGTTTATTATGGCACAGAACTATCAGGTGGGCCTCAGAAGTGCCCTGGACACTTGAAGTGTGGGGAAGCATTGTAGGCCCAAGGGAAGAAGAGGCATATGGCTTCATGGCGTGGTCGCTGTCAGCATCCGGTAGACTGAATACTCTAGCACAGGACACCTGTTAGGAGGCAGTGGAAATAGCAGTGGTCAAAGATGTGTTGTGGGACTTGGTGTGCTGAGTTTGGATTTTACCCTGTACATAATGCAGTCATGAGCATTTGAATGACAGCTGACATGAAATTTTCCCATAAGAATGCTAATGCAGGAAATAAGCCAGATTGTAGAAGCTGTGAGGTTGAAGACTGAAGAGCAGGGGAAGGCAGATGGGGCGGGAGGGCCTGAACTGAGCAGCACAAGGAGCTCCTCGGTCAGAATCTGTCCAGTGGCCAACTAGGTGCAACTCTTACGAAGAACCCTGATGGGTTCATTTCCAAGATGACCAAGAAAAGAAGGAATAACGGTCGTGCCAAAAAAGGCCGAGGCCACGTGCAGCCTATTCGTTGCACCAACTGCGCCCAGTGCATGCCCAAGGACAAGGCCATTAAGAAGTCTGTCATTCGAAACATAGTGAAGGCCGCAGCCGTTAGGGACATCTCCGAAGCGAGTGTCTTCGACGCCTGTGTGCTTCCCAAGCTGAATGTGAAGCTGCATTACTGTGTGAGCTGTGCCATTCACAGCAAGGTAGTCAGGAATCGTTCCCATGGAGCCCGGAAGGACTGAATCCCCTCACCCTGATTCAGACCTGTGGGTGCTGCCCCACGACCTCCACCAAAGCCCACGTAAGGAGCTGAGTTTTTAAAGAGTGAAGAAAAGTTCTCTGGGGGGAAAATAAATGGAAATTGTATTTCATATAGCAAAAAAAAAAAGAAAAAGAAAAAGAAAAAGAACCCTGATGGGAACCCTGGATGGTTTGTTAGGCTGAATCCCATCAGGTCACCCAGGATCCCATTTCTGAACCAAGCAGGACCCCACAGTTCATGGGCACACTGACATTGGCCAACGACCATATTACAGTTCCCAATCTATAATAATAAAAGCATAATATGCTAATTAGACCAGCCGTCCTTCCAGACGACCTTCCGAACGAAGCCAGGGCTGCAAGGGAAGCCTGGGTCCCAGGTGCCTGCTGGCGGCCAGAGGGAAGCCCAAGTCCCAGGTGCCTGCCAGCGGCCAGAGGGGAGCCCAGGTCCTGGGTAGCAGAGGGAAGCCGGTGCTGGCAGCCGGGGGAAGAAGGGCCGACTCTTGCATGAATTTCATGCATCGGTCCTCTAGTCCATAATATGAGTGAACTTAAGTAGATTGCATTTTAGGTGCCTCCTGTCCTGACATTCTGTGAATTCTTTTTACATTAGAGTCTAATGATCTCAGGCACATGAGACCCTCAGAAACCTCATGTGCATTCTTGGATACTCTGTTCAAAGGCACCAATTTGCTCTTCTTTGGTACTTGTGGACAGGAATCTTACATAAATTGGAATAATCTCTGTAGAAGTCAGTTTGGCACTGTGATGGTTAATTTTGTGTATTAACTTGGGCGGGCTACGATACCCAGATGTTGGTCAAATATTATTCTGGATGTTTCTGTGAAAGTGCTTTGTTGTGGGGAAGCATGGGACTTGGTTGGAAAGTCTGTAAGGAGGAATCTCCAAAAGGTTGGGGGCCTCTAGGTAAGCAGTTCTCAACCTGTGAGTTGCGACCCCTTTGGGGGGTCAAACAACTTTTTCACAGGGATTGCCTAAGACCATCAGAAAACACATATATAATTACATATTGTTTTTGTGATTAATCACTATGCTTTAATTATGTTCAATTTGTAACAATGAAATTGGGGTCACCACAACATGAGGAACTGTATTAAAGGGTCACGGAATTGGGAAGGTTGAGAACCACTGCTCTAGGTGAACCCTGCCAAAGGCGGCAGACCTTGCCTTGACTTTTCCAAATAAGTCTAAGCCCTCTGGTGTTTTACCAGAATCTTTATATATTTAGACTCCAAAATGTCCTTGTTTTAAAGACACTACAGATACATTTGTTTTCTCAAGGATGCTTACCCTGCTGATAGTATATAATAGTTTATTGTAGTTCAAGCTGTTGTTACAATAAAAGTCTAAGGAGGCAGGCAAACGGGGCTGTTTAGATTGCTATAGCCAAGCAGCCCCTTAGCCCTCTCTTTCACAGAAAATGTATCAGAGTAATGCATTCATCCATAGCTCAGGGTCTGCAGGTCAGTCCTGGCACTTTGTGGATGAGATTAACATTTAAATTGGTAGAGTTTTCAATCAGAGTAAAGCATTTCCCCTCCATAGTGTGGGTGGGCCTCCTCTAATCAGTTGAAGGTCTTACTAAAACAAATACTAACTCCCCTGTCTTCCCCAGCAAGAAGGAATTCTGCCAGCAGACTGCTTTGGACTGGATTTGTAACTCCTCCCTGGGTCTTTAGCTGACCGGCCTTCCCTGCAGATTTTGGACTTCTGAAGCCTCCAAAAGCATATGAACCAATACTTTAAAATAAATAAACCTTGCACTGGCCGAGCAGCTCAGTTGGTTGGAGTGTCATCCCGATGCACCAAGGTTGTGGGTTCCATCCCAGGTGAGGGCACATATAAGAATCAACCAATGAACCATAGGTAGTTTGGCTCAGTGGATAGAGCGTAGAGCATCAGCCTGCAAACTGAAGGGTACTGGGTTTGATGCCAGTCAAGGGCACATACCTCGGTTGCAGGCTCCATCCCTAGCCCTGGTAAGGGTGTGTGCAGGAGGCAACCAATTGATGTGTCTCTCTCACATTGATGTGTCTCACTCTGTGTCTTTCCCCCTTCCTTCCACTCTCTCTAAAAATCAATGGAAAAATATCATCGGGTGAGGATTAACAAAACAAACAAAAAGACTCAACCAATGAATGCATAAATAAGTGGAACAGCAGACGGATGGCTCAACAGATTGATGTTTCTCTCTCCCCCCATTCTCTCTAAAATCAATCAAATTAAAAGATAAATCTCTCTCTACACACACACACCTCTGTTGGCTGTTCTCTGGAGAGCCCTAATACTGGCAATATTTAGCAAAATTGCAAATGCTAGTTATCACCCATTCACATATGAGAATATGCTGCAACCACAGAAAAGGGTGCAGACTCTGTGTACTGAAGGAAAGATCTCCAAGATATATTAAAAATAGTGTGTATAGTCCAGCTGATATGGCTCGGTGGTTGAACATCAACCCACAAACCAGAAGGATGCCAGTTTGATTCCGTCAGGGCACATGCTCAGGCTGTGGGTTTGATCCCTGACAGGGGGTCTGCAGGAAGCAGGTGATCAATGATTCTCTTTCATCACTGATGTTTCCTTTTTTTAAAAAAGCAACATATTTTTATTGATTTCAGAGAGAGGAAAGGGAGAGAGAAAAAGATAGAAACATCAGTGGTGAGAGAGAATCATTGATCAGCTGACTCCTGCACACCCCCCACTAGAGATTGAGCCCACAACCCAGGCATGTGCCCTGACTGAGAATTGAATCGTGACCTCCTGGTTCATAGCTCGACACTCAACCACTGAGCCATGCCGGCTGGGCCATCACTGATGTTTCTCTCTCTCTCTTTCCCTCTCCCTTTCTCTCTGAAATCAATAAAAACATTTTTTTAAAAAGGTATTTTAAGCCGAAACCGGTTTGGCTCAGTGGATAGAGCGTCGGCCTGCGGACTGAGAGGTCCCAGGTTCGATTCCGGTCGGGAGCATGTGCCTGGGTTGCGGGCATATCCCCAGTGGGAGATGTGCAGGGGGCGGCTGGTCGATGTTTCTCTCTCATCGATGTTTCTAGCTCTCTGTCTCTCTCCCTTCCTCTCTGTGAAAAATCAATAAAATATATTTTAAAAAAAAAAAGGTATTTTAAAAAATAGTGTGTATACAATCATCTGTGTAAACAATAACAAAAAAAGAGTAAAAATTTAAATTCCTACTGCTTATATGTGGGGAAAACCCTGTAGAGGACACCTAAGAAACTAATAGCAGGGTCACCTGTTGGAGGGCAGCAAGGGAGCCCAGTAAATGGGAAGCAAAGAAGGGAGACGTTTTTGCTTTACTCCTTTTGATACTCTTTGATAAACGCATATTTAGCTTAGGCCAATATGGCTCAGTTGGTTGGAGTGTTGTCCTGTACACCGAAAGATGGCAGGTTCAATTCCCAGTAAGGGCACATGCCCAGGTTGTGGGTTCAATCCCTGGTCAGGGAGGGTGCAGGAGGCAACTGATAGATGTTTCTCTCTCACATAGATGTCTCCCCCCCCGCCCCGCCCCCGCACCCCGCGCCTCCCTCCCTCTCTATAAAAAAAAACACACACAAAAAGGTGCATGTATTCTTTGGCTGAGCAATTCCACATTCACATATTTATCTTATAAATGTACTTCCACGCATGCAAAATGACATATATACAAAATATTGAGTTGCAGAATTGCTTATAAGAGAAAAAGAATAGAAGTAACTTAAATACCCATTAGTAGGAAACTGGTTAAATAAACCATTCATTTGAAGAAACATGGTACATTTGTTACAAGGAATGAGGCTGCTTTCTCTGTGCTGATGTGGAATGAGTTCTAAGTTAAGTAGAAAAAAGCAAGGTGTGCGTATAGTACACTACCATTTGTGTATGGAGGGGAAAAGTCAAACTCTATGCATATATATTTGTAAATGCATGACATCTACAGAAAAACACAGAATAAACTAATTGCAGTAGTTGCCGCTGGGGAAAGGAACTAGGTAACTGGGAAATGAGGGTAAGAAGGAATTACTTTATACTATATCTCTTGAGTCATGGGTATATATTATCTATTCAACAAATTCTGGCCTGGCAAGGTAGCTCAGTTGATTAGAGCGTCATCCTGATATGCCAAGGCTGTGGGTTCGATCCCCGGTTAGGGCACATCCAAGAATCAACCAATTAATGCATGAGTAAGTAGGACAATAAATTGATGTTTCTTTCTCCCTTCCCCTCGCTCCTAAAAATCAATCAATCAATAAAATTTAATTTTTAAAAAAAGTTTCTGAGGGGAGAGACAGGAGGAAGTCACATGCTAGAGTGGGGCTAAGGCCATCTCAACACAAGCAGTGATACGCTCTGCTTTTCATGTTTTAACCTGAGTCTCCCCTGAACTGCTCTTACAAATTCCAACCTCGAGCCACAGCTAATTTCACTGAAAACCCAGGGCCTTCACCAAAGCCAGGGAAGTAATTTTTGAAGATCAGATCATTAACTCTCTGCAAGGCAGAGGACTCTTTACTCCACACACAAAGACAACTGGATGCAGACCTTTTGTTTGGAACCTTTTTTATCAATCATCTAACCAACAAAGGTGGTCAGCTTGAACCAAAACAAGCTGTAATAGTCTCAAAAAGGCCTGCTTCATTACAACACAATAGGGAAAACCAGAAATGAAGATAGTCTTGCCTCCGTTCTTTTCAGAGTAGGCCAAACATGTATCTGTACATAATTGCCCTATTAAAAACTGATTAGCAACATATGTAATACTTCCAACAATGAAGGAAAAAAACACCAAAAAACTGATTAGCAGTGCACCATCACCAAAACCACAGAGTGTAGAAATCTTGTTGGGGATTCCTAACGTGTCATTCACAGAGCCAGCCTCTTCCCCAGCCATATACAAGCCCTTGCTTTTTTAGGGAGAAAGAACAGAAATACAGGATGATCAGCCTGGATCTTCAGTGATGGCACCTTTTGTTTACTCTGGAACTTTGATGGGGAGGGAACTCACTTATTTCCTCCCTGAATCTCAGATGCTAGCCTGTTTGAATATCAAATAAGTGTCCTGGGTGATAGGTGGTGGAGGTTCCCTTAACAAAGAGTTTACAGAGTAATTGTGTAGGGCTCTTTAAGTACTTAATCCTGTTGTTTTTCAGAAGCCTTTGCACCTGGGCTCCCAAGAAGCAAGGAGGACCAAATCAGTGCCCCACTGGCCTGAGTGAGGTGCTTCTCAGAGCAGTCACCCACAGAAGTGGAGGCAGCAGGGGAGGGCAAAGGTGGAGATGCAGGGGGACAGAAATCAGCTGAAACACTCCATGCTGGTTCTGACTCGCTCCATCTCATGCAGGAAGCTGTAGAACTGAGGCAAGGTTAACTCTGGGGGAAGAAAAGGCAGCTTCAGGTAAATGTTTCCAACTCCACAGAATCATCCAAGAAAATTAATTTCCACCCAGAGAATTTTTTTTTCTTTTTTGGCTTAGTAGAACCAGGCAGCTTTTGTTGGGTAATTGGTCATAATAAAAAACTGAGAGCCTTGAATATAGGAAAGTTCTCAGCCCCATAAAAAAGGAAGAAGGTTTAAAATGGCCCAACTCCAGGGCATAGAGATGAAAGGGCATTAGTAGGATATACAATGACTTCTACTGTAAGAGCTTCTTGCTCTTCAATCTTTGCCATTCCTTTCCCCCCTTTTTCAGAAAGGTTCTTCAACTCTGGGGTCTCCAACTTGTCAGCGGCTTATTAAGTATCTTTGTACCATCTTTTATGAGAGGAAAGGCAGTGGTTATACTATAACTTAGTAATGACTTTTTCTGGAAGAAATTATTTGTGGTGGGCTACATGAGCCCATTGAGTGAAGAGAACAGAGAAAAAGGGGAAAGGTTAAAATGGGAATTTGGACTCACCTATATATAAATTTTCAGTTTGATTTCCTTTCTTAAGCACCAACTTTAACTGATTAAAAAGAAGAAATACAAAAATTTAAATTAAAATGACAACTAGGCAAAGAAATTTTTGAAACCTGAACTTTCACTTAAACATCAAAGCATCCAGTTTCTAAATTGAGGGTTTACAAGAGCAGTCTGGATTATCCACCAAAACTTCTAAAAAGTCCCATGATTACAGGTGCAATCAAACTTTTAAGAATAATACCTGGATCCTATTAATCTGAAAGTAAGCATGTTGATAACCATGTCTTTGGCTGACCACATTGCTCTGAGGCACTTCAGTGGGCCATCCATTTAATCGGATATTTAAAGAAACCCAATGTAGGTTTAATAATTTTTAACCAAGTAAAAAATCTGCCCATTTTCAACCATCAAGAGAAGACTTACTTGTAAAAAAATACTCCCCACTTTTTCCAGTTCACTGCTGCCAGAAGTCACTGTGACACAGAGAGAAAACTAGTAAGCGGCTGGCGGAGGACCCGCTCTGAAGACCCCAATCTTGCAGGCTGTGCAGCAGAAGCCAAATGGGGGTGAGTATGAGGACAGCAAAATGTGCGTTTCGGGAAGTCAACATATCAACAGCCGTGGGTAGAAATAGCTGCTGGAATATGGATGGCAATACAGAGAGGTAGCCGCTGGCCCCAACGGTGTTTGAGGATGGAGGGAACCTCTTCCCCATAGAAGCTATCTGAAAGCTTCTGCAACCCAACCCTACATCACCCAAAGGACCCGAGACCGGCTCTAACTAGTTACCTCCAAATTTCCACTCCATATCTATAAGCTGGTTAATCATCAGAGTCTGACCTATGGCCCATCGTGCAAGGGTGGGGGCATTCTGCTTCCACTGAAACAAAAACAAAAAGCCAAAGTCTTAACAATGGGAAAAATTCTCCCTCTTCATTCCACGCCCCCCTCCCCCCCCAGCAATGTTTAGTTTTTTATACAGACAGTGGGAAGAAAGCAGAACCAAGGGCTGGTCTAGATGCACAGATCTGGGGGGTGGGGGAGTGTCGAAGGCACAGAAGATAATATAAATTTTTTCTTTCATTCCCAGATTTAATCTATGTTGGAACAACAACAGTATGACATTAATATTTAATCAGATCAGTGGGGTGCACTAAAAAATGCACAAAAATTACAAATGTGTTAAATAGTGCAATTTAAAAGCTGGATGTATGTCATTTGCATGAAACCAAATAAAAAACATTAAGCTGGGGAGATGACACATAAAGATTGATGACTTTTCCTTAGTTGGCATTTTCCATTTGTTTCTTTTTGTGAAATAAAAGCAAGTGATCTTAATTAACCTTGATTAAGAGGAATTATGATACCTTTTCAGAAAAGTAAGTGGCTTTCTCTTCACTAAGACCTATGAGAGAACATAGGGAGACATTACTATACGAAAGAGTTGCAAGGCCTGTCACTCTGAGGAACCTTGGTGATGACCTACCTAGAGTTATGAAATCAGCTCGGACCTGCTCAGCTGTGAGACTCTTCTTCAAGGCACCTGGGAAAAAGGGAAGAAATCAGTTACAAAGGACAAATCAATTAATCAGTTAATAGTATTTATTGGGCACAACTTATACAACACAGATAACACAAGGAATAGGCAAAACTCAGTTGCTCCGTGAAGATCTCAATTCAGTTGGGGGAAAAAGTCACATTGAGACAAGTGGAGAACAAGACAGACCATTTTGTTTATTGTACAACACAAGCGTTTACCTCCCACCTTCCCCGAAAGTATAGAAGACATTAGAGACAGAGGAAAAGGTTTTGTGAACTTAGGGGTGGGGGTACCTGATCTGAGGAAAGAAGAACGCCACAGATTCCTGGAGCAAAGTGCAGGAAGCTCAATGCTGGGCTGGGCATAGGGGCAACAGCCTAGAACTGCACTGTGCAATACACAGCCACTAAACACGTGTGGTTATTTAAATTTATTAAAATTAAATAAAATTTTAAATTATGTTCCTCAGCCCCACTAGCTATTTCAAGTGCTTAATAGCCATATGACTCCAGTGGCCACAATACATACTGGACAGTGCAGATTATAGACCATTTCCATCTACATACAAAGTTCTAGCCTGGCCAGCGTGGCTCAGTGGTTGAGCTTCAACCTATGAACCAGGAGGTCGCAATTTGATTCTGGTCAGGACACATGCCGGGGTTGAGGACTCACTCCCTAGTGTGGGGTGTGCAGGAGGCAGTTGTTCAATGAATCTCTCTCATCATTGATGTTCCCATCTCTCTCTCTCTCTCCCTTCCTCTCTTAAATCAATAAAAATATTAAAACACACACACACAAAACAAAGTTCTATTGGACAGTGCTGCCCTAGAAAACCAGCTTGCAGGAAGTACACCCAGATGGGCTCAATATTTGGCCTTTACAATTCACAAGTCGCTTCCAAGAGGCGCATCAAACCTTCCCCTCAGAAATTCTGGAACTCTCCAGTGGGGGCTGCTTTGTTCTTTCTGCCCACAAGCTCCAATTCCTGAAAGCTAAGTGTTGCCAGCAATCTGAATGTCTAAATGTTTAACCTGAAGGCTACAGCCTAGAGTCACAATTTGGCAACCGGTCTAGAAATTTCCACTTCTTAGTCTTCCAGAAGATGATTAAAGAATAAGGAGGGCTCTGAAGTAATTCCCTAACACCAAGTCCCCACCCCACCCTCAACTCACTCCTAATGGCTGTTGTCCCTGAAAAATAAACCATGTAAACAAAGGGAGGAAATCTTTTATCTCCAAAATCAGTCTGAGCAAGGAAGCCACAGGGAAATTAAAAAAAGGCAAGACCTGAGGAAACTGTGGCCATAAAAGCATTCCAAGAAGGGGGTCACTTCCTAGCCAATCCAATGAACTCAAACTATCACATGTACAGCTCCTTCATATTTATCCAGTTAAAACCCAACATTTTGCGTGATTATCCCAAAATACTCTGAAGTGGGCATTATTGAAACCTTTATCAGGAAAATAAATATCAAGCTTTTGGGGGAGAAAATTTGTAAAATGTACATAGTCAACAATTGCACTGCCAAAAATTCACCCAACAGATTCATTTAAAAGTGTCCTGAGGCCCTAGCCGGCTTGGCTCAGTGAATAGAGCCTGTGTACTGAAGGGTCCTGGGTTCGGTTCTGGTCAAGGGCACATGCCCCGGTTGCAGGCTCAATCCCCAGTAAGGGGCGTGCAGGAGGCAGCCAATCAATGATTCTATCATCATTGATGTTTCTATCTCTCTCTCTCCCTTCCTCTCTGAAATCAATAAAAATATATTAAAAAACAAAACAAACAAAAAAAAACCCCATAAAAGTACACTGAGAACAAGGGAAGTTCATTAGCAATGTCGGTAGAAGAGAGAAAAAGTCAGGAACTGTGGGCTGCTTTTGGTGCATTCACACAGCAGCCTAGATGTCAAAGCGATTTTGTTAAAAACTTAATTCAGACCATGTCTCTCCTCTGCTGCTCAAAATCCTCTAATCATCCTAATGGCTCTGGTTGCACTTACATTGAAATCCAAAGCTATTGCAATGCCTTGCATGAAATGGCCTCTAGAACCCCTAAGCTCTCTCCCTAGCTTACTACGCTTTTCCTATAATATCCCGGGCAGGCGTTTTCCGGGCTCAGGCCGTTGGGCCGCTAGTCTGGGCGCCCGGGTCGCAGAGGCAGCCCCTGGCGGCCACCAGCTGCGCTTCTCGCCTTCATGGTTCCAGTGGCGGGATCACGGCATCGCGCGGGCATGGCGAACCAAGGAGATTGGGGCGGGTCCAGCCCGGCGCCCCGCGACCCCGCCGTGCAGGCTGCAGCGGAACTGGCCAGAGAGGTCAGAGCTCACCCTCTTGAAGGTGAAGTCAGCCAGGTCAGGATTCGATTCATGCCCAACCCGGCATGTAGGAGGCAGCCGATCAGATCAATGCTTCTCTCATCATTGATGTGTCCACTTCTTCTCACTCTCTTTTCCTCTAGTTAGCATTGGAGTTGTCAACAGGCCCCAAGCAAAGAATTCAAGGAATATTACAAACTGCAGCATGGTACACACTTGGTCGGCTAAAGCCTTCTTGCCCGCATCTGTTGGCGCCTGCAAGCCTGCGCCCCCACGCGCCCGCCGGCCATGGCTCCCGCCTCCCGTGGCTCCTGCCTCCCGTGGCTCCTGCCTCCGGCTCCCAGCTCAGGCCGCTCTGGCTCGGCTCCCCGGCGCCACCACTGGACTGCGCCATCCCGCTTGACCTCCTGGGCTCCAAGCTGGCACCTGCGGGCCCGAGGTCTGAGGCCCCGCGCCTGCGCCCTCTGACCCGCCTAAAGAATTTTTTTTTAAAGGCAATTAAATGAATTGTCCAGGGCCCTTGCACAGTGACCACGAACGCTCCCAACTTTGCAGGGACCAAAGGGCAATTTTTCCATCCTGCATTACCTCTGCCAGGCATACTTAAAAATACAGAATTTGTGCCCGGACCTGTTTCTCAGTGGGTAGAGTGTCGGCCCCTGTACTGATGGGTCGTGGATTTGATTCCCTGTTGACAACTCCAATGCTAACTAGAGGAAGAGAGAGTGAGAAGAGATGGACACATCAACGATGAGAGAATCATTGATCTGATCGGCTGCCTCCTACATGCCCCGTGTTGGGCATGAATCGAATCCTGACCGGAATCAAATCCAGGACCCCTCAGTCCGCAGGCTGAGGTTCTATCCACTGGGCCAAACCGGCCAGGGCAAATTGTTCTTTAAAAATCATTGGAGGAAATCGGGGCAGGCTGGCTTCACCTTCAAGAGGGTGAGCTATGACCTCTCCCGCCCAGGGGAGGTGGGGCAGCTGTGCCCAGCGGGGGCTGGGGCGCAGGTGGCGTGGAGCAGGGAGCCCCGCCCAGACGTGGGAGGAGGGCGGTGGCCACTGGAGCGGGCCCTTGGGAGTTGGGACGGAGGGGTGCACGGTCCGAGGCCTTCCGGGCGGAGGCACTTATAGTGCCGGGATCGGGCGGGCCTCAGCCACCCTTGCTGGGCCGGGCGCCCCGCACCGGGAGGGGAGGCACAGCTTAGGCGGGGTGGAGTCGGACTCTAAGGAGAGTACCACTTCCACCCTCAAGGGCTGGACCCCAAAGACACTGGCCAGGGTTAGGTTGGTGGCACATTAAGTGTACTTTGTTGACTAGAAGATGGGGCGGCCCGGGCAGGGAATGGGAGGAAGACGGCGGCAGGGAGGCTGGGGAAGGGGGGATGGCAAAGGCCTGGCCGTGGCTTGGCCCTAGGCTGGTGTTAACGCCCCCCAAACGGAAGCTTTAATATCAAAGTGCGCTCAGACGGGGCTGGAAGCAGGTCCCAGAAAGGAAAGGGGAAGGTTTAAAAGAGAAACCAGTGAACATGGCAGGGGTACGGGGTGGGTGGGGGGTAATAATAGGGAAGGAAGGAGGGAGGCAGGGTTCAGGCTCACAAGGGAAAGGCTAATGGGAAGGGGAGGGTGGGAGGAGTAAGAAGGAGACAGACATAGGGAATGAAGGGAGAGAAGGGAGGAGGGAGGGAGGGAGAGGGGCCGCAGGAGGTTCAGAGGGAGGGAGGGAAAGAAAGCAGGAAAGAGAAGGATGCTAAAATGGGGTGATGCCAGGAAGATAGTTAAATAAAAAGAAGAAGCAGAATGTGAGAGTGAGGGGACTTTAAAAGGAGTTAGTAAGAAAATTAAGTACAGGGTGATTTTTTAAAAGTGTAGTCGGACATCCCCTGAGGGCTCTCGGACCGTGAAAGGGCGCAGGCTTGGCTGAGGCCCCCCTTCCCCCTAGCACAAATTTCGTGCATGGGCCTCTAGTTTGAGATATGATAATGGCACTGTAGTTGATAAGAGTTTAACTTAGGTATTTAGGAATTCATCATGATATGATGTCTGAGAGATTAAGAATTGCTTTAAAATAATCCAGTTTATAGAGCAGCAGGTGAAGTGGGTGGGATACAGATGAAACAATTTGGACATGGGTTGAGTAACTGAAGTCAGGGCTTTTAGAATTACATACTAAATAGTATAAGATAAACATTAAAAAATTCCACTAGGCTTTAACTCAATCGAGGGAGGTTCTAGCCCCAGTTTCTGCACTACAAGATCTTAAATCAAGTTGCTTTCCTCCTGTTAGGACTCTGTTTCTGTATCTCCAAGACCAAGACTAGACTAGATTAGCATTTTATAAAGCTTTTACCTGACCCCCATCCTGACAAAACAAAAAAAGAGTTCCATGATTAACTGTTTCACAGATACTGGTTAAGCAGGTCCCAAGGTGGAGAGAGAGTATCTTCTGACTGTCTGGCTGCTGAAGCCTTTTCTGAATGAAAATACAAACTTGGGACCCTGGCCAGAGTTTCACGGTGGTTAGAGCATTGGCCCGTGCACTGAAGGGTCGCAGGTTTGATTTTCAGTCAAGGGCACGTACTTGGGTTGCAAGTTTGATCCTTGGCCCTGATAGGGCATGTGTGGGAGGAAACAAATCAATGTGTCTCTCTCGCCCAACCCGGTATGGATCAGTAAATAGAGCATCAACCTGCAGACCAAAGGGTCCCGGGTCCGATTCCAGTCAAGGGCACATGCCTGGGTTGAGACTCGATACCCAGTAGGAGGCGTGCAGGAGGCAGCTGATCAATGATTCTCATTATTGATGTTTCTATTTCTCTCTTCCTCTCCCTTCCTCTCTGAAATCAATAAAAAATATATTTAAAAAAAATGTGTCTCTCTCACATTGATTTCTCTCTCTCTCTCTCTCTCTCTCTCTCTCTCTCTCTCTCTCTCTTTCTCTCTCTCTCTCTCTCTTCCTCCCTCCCTCCCTTCCACTATCTCTAAAAATCAATGGAAAAAATATCCTCAGCTGAGGATTAACAAAAAGAAAAAAGAAAACACAAATTTGGGAAAGACTGATCTGGAGGGTTCTTCGGGCCCCTTCAGCTCTAATAAGCTATGATTCTACAGTGAGGTCTAACCGCACAGGCAGAAAGAGGATGAGCGAAGTTGAAGAGGATGAGGGTCTCACATTTCAGATTTAAAAAGGCCTTGCATACCAAATTAAGGACTGCAGACTTCATTATGTAAAGTAAATAGTTGAGAGGAGCAGCATGTTCCGAGGTGAACGGTATAAGCGTGCTCCAGGGCAAACTGGAATCTGGGATGGGAGACGGAAGTGAGGCTGTTACTGCCACAATAAGGTACAAAGCGCCAAGACCTTGCTCTGGGATGCAGACTCGGGGACTGGAAAGAAAATGACACACAAGATCAAGATTTGAGGAAGAGGCCAAGAGACTTACAAGCTACAATGGCAAATTATTAGGAGTCACTCAAGAACGGAGAATTCAAGTAGGAAAACTCTGCAGGAAGACAAAAGTCGGATTGCCTGGGAACAAAAAGAACAGTAAAAAATTCTGTTGAGAGCTAACTGAGAAGTACAGCAAATCTGAGACTTCAGTACTAAAATTTGAAAAGCTTGAAAGCTTTGGAGCATCAATAGCCAAGAAGTGAATTCAGATTCTCTCCATTAGGTAAAGGGAAATTTTACTGCATAACCTGATACTGAGGCATGGGGCTGAACCTAACCGAACTATCAACAAATACAACTAAAATTTAGCAAGTACTGTAGTAAGTGCTTTACACATATTAACTCACTTATTCCTAATGCCACTGCCATAAACTGCTCTTATACTCCATTTTTCAGATAAGAAACTGAGCCTCCAAGAGGCTGGTTTGTCCAAGGTCAAATAATTACATTAGGTGACGTGAACAACACTCAAATCCAGTAAGCCTCCAAAGCCCAGGTCTGGTTGACATGCTGTGAGTTCTTCAGTGTTCTCTGCACCTATATATGATGACCTTCTATAATCATTCCTGCTTAAGAAACACCCAGCATCTCCTAGGAGGGTCACAGGATATCTCAAATTCAGTTCAACTCACCCAGCATGTACTAAGCACTTGCTCTATGTCATTAACTTGTAACCCTGAGTTCAGAAAACAGTACAAGCCCAGCCCCTGACTCTAAGGAATTAGCTATCTGTTAGAGCCACGAGACAAATACATACAAAGCAGTATGAACAATAGAAAAGTAAATGATTATGTTCAAAATGAGAGATGCAAGTAAACAACACCACCCAGATCTCAGTTGCTGAGCAGAACAAAGGTCACTGCAGACTGAGGAAGGCTTTCTGAAGGAGGCAGCACAGGGGCTGGAGCTCAGAGGCTGGGAAGGACTGGAGGCAGTTTGACAGGATGGAGTGGAGTAGGGAGCAGAGACGAGAAAGAATGAAGGCAGGAACACCAGACAGAGGTATCCAGAAAATCAGTGTCCATAACAGTTACTGTGTAAACAGGTCTCCACCTGCAGACAAACCCATTTCCACGGGTGTAAGACTTGACAATGACAGCAAACACTGCTGGTTCTGCACTCTGGGCACCTGTCCTACAGAAATGCTCACATATGGTGAGCACACAAATGTTCACTGGCATTGTTTCTAACAACTAAAAGTCCAGCAATAGGAAATGGATTAACTAAAAAATGAGACTTTTAGTCCAAGGTATTACAGTTATCAGAAGAATGCAGTTGATATGGAGATATCTCCATGATAGGTATGAAAAAAATGCAAGCTGCATAGCTATTCTATGGTTTGCTACCATCACTGCATGTAAGTTTGTCAGTGTATGTAAAAATACAAAAGGACATACACCAAAATTATATTATGATTATTTCTAGAATAATCTAGAATTGACAAGAGTGGGATGACAGTAAAAGGGAATTTTCACTTTCGACTCTCAGTAGCTCTGCACTGTTTTAAGTTTGCAATGAAAAATTTAGTCCTGTGTTTAAAAGACTGCAAGTTCCCACCCAGTCTTGTGGTTCACATGCCTTTAACCTTCCATGAGGGTATGGGGGGGAAGGGGGGAGGGAGAAATCTGTAATACTTTCAACATTTATAAAGATAAATTTTTTAAAAAATGCAAGAATCACACAAAGGATCATAAAATCTCACAGTGAAAAACCTCAATGATGTTATGATTCAAGCCTCCAGAACTTCTGGAGCATAAGACAGGCAAAGGAAAAGGATCTGCACTAAGATACGGAAAGACACCCAACAGGAACAAACAAATTTAAGCCCCCAACTTTTAGTGCACCATTTGGCTGAATCCTGGGAAGATCAGGTTATTCGTGATTTTTAAACTGTGCAAACAAAGAATGCTGTTTTACTCACCCAGCATGTACTTTCAACCTTGTCAACATTTATTGATTCTTCCAGACTGGGCACAAATGTTGCCTCTCTTTAAATAAAGTTAACTTTAAATTACCAAATTAATTCTAGCAAATTTTTAGACAGTACATAGGCAAAAATAAACATCAAAACAACCTGCAGTCCTACCACCTAGATATAGCCACAGTTAACATTCACTTCCTTCCTTTCATCCTTCCGCCCTTCCTTTACAAAAAATACCACTGTGATAGAAAGTTTTGTAAACTACTACTTTAAACAGTATATTGTGAAAGGTTTTCCATGTCATTACATTTTCCTCAAGAACATCTTTTTAAATTACTACATAATCTGAAAAACAAGAACAACCTTTTACTGAGGTACTACGCTAAGTATTTTATTTACAAGATCTCAATCTTCAAAGCAAGCCTCATCCCCACCCCACCCCCACCCCGCCCCATACACACCAAAAAAAAAAAGCCTTAGCTTGGAGTTGGGGGAAATGTTGGTTGGGGTTGGGATTCACAGCCAGGTCCATCTAATTCAGAACTGTGAATTCTTGACCACCATAATGTTCCCTGGTAAAAACAGACCACAGCTCCTTACACCAATCTCCAGTTGCCAGTCCATTTAATGGTTTCTAATTTCTCTCTATCATACACAGTGCAACAGACATCCCTGCAGCCACCTCTTTCTGCCCCCTCCCTCCGGGCCAGAAACTTCCTAACTGGCCTAGGCCTAGGCAAACTCTGCTTCTCAAACCACCTGCGCCTCTTTGTTTTCAATCTATCGCAGATCAATATTTTTGTAAAATACAATGAAAATTAATTCTTAGAAATAGGAAATGAGCCCTTGCTGGTTTGGCTAAGTGGTTAGAGCATCAGGCCTTGGATAGTAGGGTCTCGGGTTTTGGGCAAGTACGTGGGCTTCGGTTCGATCCCCGGCCCTGGTCAGGCGAGTTGGGGAGGCAACCAATCGATGTGTCTCTCACATCGATGTTTCTCTCTCTCTGTCTCTGTCTCTCCCTGCCCCCAACCTTTCCCTCCCTCCTACTCTAAGAGGAGGACATAGAAACCCACACCTGAAACCTATATGATCATGTTGACCAAAGTACCCCAATAAATTTAACTTAAAAAAAAAAGAATCAATGGAAAAAATATCCTCTGGTAAGGGGAAAGAAGGAGGGAAGGAAGGAAGGAAGGAAGGAAGGAAGGAAGGAAGGAAGGAAGGAAGGAAGGAAGGAAGGAAGGAAGGAAAAGAGAGAGAGAGAGAGAGAGGGAGGGAGGGAGGGAGGAAACATACAAGCCCCATATGATTAAAAGAATAAAGTTTGTTACATATATTTTACCACATTTAAAAGAAAAACACCAAGCACCATTTTTAAACTGTATTAGAATTAAGAGACTTTGTCAAATTGCTTTAAAAGTTTCTAAATGTTTACTGTGTAGAGGACTAGATAACATTTTGGGGGCTGAAGCCGGGATGCAGAGTACACTTTGAACTGCAACTCTATTATACCAGGGTTATCTATTGACCCGGCTTCCCTCCCGCGTCTGTGACTCCCGCCCATGTCTGGTTTGCTACTGAATGCTCTGGCTCAGTGCCCAGAGCACGCTTGTCTACTCTGTGGACTGAAGGAATGTTCAAGTAATGTCTCTGACCTCAGCTGCTGACAGAGGCTACTCACCATTTGGAACCAGAAGGAAGCTTTTCACGATGCTTCTGAGGGGACCAAGACTGATCTGATTGATGGTGGCAAATTCAGAGAGTTGAGCCAGAAACCTTTCCACCTGCAGAAAGGGAACAGCACAAACGAGGCTGTCACTTTCTAAGCATCTCAGTACTGTAGACCCACATCCAGGAACTCTCCTTATCACAAAATACTTACCTCTTTTGGCTCAGTTAGGAAGTGAAAAAGCACTTCTGTCAGGGCTGAGAATTGCTGTGAAAAGAATAACACAGAACATCAGTAAAATTCTACCCCTGGTCAGTGTTCCCACATTCCATCCAATCATAGACCATTACGAGAGAAAGAATAACACACAGGTTTTGATCATCCTAGAGTTAAAAAATATTTACAATATCCACCACCAGTGTCAATATATCTGTGTCCCTATACTGTCTGAAAAACTTGTATATTTTATTGGGATACTTGGGAGATATATATTGAGAGAGTGTGTGTGTGCACAGATGCACACATACATCTCAAGTGTCCAAATATACGAAAGAACCAACATTCTCCCTCTCGCCCCCCTACCCCCCACACACAGCCTAAAAGGAAAGTTCACTGGAACATTAATAGCAGTTACTTCTGTTTGTTTGTTTATACTTACACATATTTATTATTCAAACATAAGCCAATCCAAATATATAAATCATCCCCGTCCCCCCCCAAAATGATAACATACCCTATAAACTTTTTCTGTACTCTTTCAAAAGTAGTTACTTTTGTGTGGTGAGATTTGGAGTAATTTTTATTTTCTTCTGTTTTGTCTACCCATATTTCTGGGGGCTTCCCCCATAGAAACATCGTGTGTGTGTGTGTGTGTGTGTGTGTGTGTGTGTGTGTGTGTGTGCGCGTGCGCGCGCGTGCAAAATATAGATATATTATTTGTAATATATATAATAAAACAGTAAAGTTTAACACTTTATTTTACATTGTCTTAGACCAGTCTCTTATTATTTTGTGCATGTGAATCTTCTCTTTATTGCTATTTATTTTTAAGGACTGAATGTTTGTGTCCCCCAAAATTCATATGTTGAATTTATTACTGTATTTGGAGATAGAGCCTGTGAGGAGGTAAAGAAAGTTAAAAGGGGTGATAAAGGTAGGGCCCTAAATTCCTTGGAAGAGGAGGAGACACCAGAGCTCGCTCTATAAGACACATGAGAAGGCAGCCATCTGCAAGCCAGGGGGAGAGCTCTCACCAGGAGCTAAATCTGTTCACACCTTGATCTTCGATTTAACATCCCCCAGAACTGTGAGAAATAAATGTCTGTTGTTAAAGCCACCCAGTCTGTGGTATTTTGTTATAGCAGCCCAAGCAGATTGACACACTTACCATTACTTTACCATGATCTCTCCCAATGGACAGTGTGTGCACAGTGTAGAAAAGAGTTGAAAAGACCCAGATGTGAATCAGTGTTTTGCTACTTACCTCACCATGTGCTTCTGGGCAAGTCACTTAGCCTCTCTGTGTCTCAGTCCCCACAGGGAATACAAAGGTAATAATACTTAGCTTCCAGAACATACTAATGGTGGCATATGCAAAGCCTCCAGTACAGTGCCAAGCTAGAGGCTAAACAAATGGTAGCAATTATCAGAGCCATAATTATAGTCACGATACTATTTGATCTACCTTCCTGAAGCAATACAACTCAAACAAAATTATATGCAGAGACTTCAGCTCGAAGTCCCTAAAGCTGTATATGTAATGATTATCAAATGCACCTACTCCTTTTGCTATGAGCCACTAAATTCCACACAAACTCCTGGCATAGCTCTGTATTATTTTATTCTAAAATGTATTCTGTTTAAAAACTAGTCTTTGAGGCTCTGGCCAGGTAGCTAAGTAAGTTAAAGCATTGTTCCAATATACCAAGGTTCTGGGGTTGACACCCAGTCAGAATGCACAAATAAGTGGAACAACAAATCAATGTTTTTCTCTCTCTCTTTCCCTTTCTCTCTAAAATTAATCAAAATCAAAACAAAACAAAAAACCACACCACACTAGTCTTTTGAAAATATAAGACCAATACATGTGCAAGGTTTTGAAAAGACCCAACTAGTATAAAAGATTATAAACATTTCTCTTTCTCCCTGCCCACACCTCTGTCCCACTCTCCACAAGTAGTTACTGCTAACACCTCTGTGGCTTTCCCATCATTTTATTTTCATTTAATTTATTTTAAATACAAATTGATTCCCAGCACCTTGCCTTTTTTCACTCAATTTTATCATAGAGATCAATCATGTCAGCAGATATAAATGTACCCAACTCTTTTAACAACTGCATGGCATTCAACTGTATAGTTAGCATAAGTTAGCTTCCTAAAGATGAACATTATTGTGTGGGTCTTGTTGGTATTATTAAACAACTAGAAGCCCGGTGCACGAAATTCGTGCACTGGATCGGGGGAGGGTGGGTCCCTCAGCCCGGATTGCAAGAGGGCGCAGGCCAGGCCAAGGGACCTCACTGGTGCACAATCGGGGCCGGGAAGGAACACGGGAGGTTGGCCAGCTGGGGAGGGACCGTGGGAGGGCTCCAGGGCATGTCAGGCCCATCTCACTCAGTCCCAATCAGGCGGACCCCAGCAGCAAGCTAACCTACCACAGCGTCTGCCCCTCTGGTGTTCAGTGCACACCATAGCGAGCTGTTGAGCAGCCTTAGCATATCATTAGCATATTACACTTTTAATTGGTTGTTCTGCCATTTGGTCTATTTGCATATTATCCTTTTATTATATAGGACAAAAGATAAATTCTTAAAACATATCCTAGATCAAAAGATATATGCATTTTTTAAATTCTGAGAAAATTTTGCCAAACTGCCTTGCAAATAAGTTGTACAGATTTACACTCCTGGAAGTGTCTACTGTCTCAAAATTTTAATATAACCTGGAAACATGTTAACCAATGTTGAATCAGGCATTGTCTTTCTCCAGTATTTGTGATATTGGGTATTAGCCTTGCTTAGCTGCTGATTCTATAAAGTAAACACAATAGGATGGGCTTGAGAATGTGTCCTTAAACTATTAATGAGTTTTTATTTCTTTACATTTTTGCTGCAAATCTGTGGAACTATCAGATCTTTGGCCAATTGTATTTCCTGCTACTCAGGGCCTTAAAAATAAACAAAAACAGGGCAGCTGAAAAGCCCTCCAACCGCTTTTCCATTTTCAGGCCTCAGCCTAGCAGTCAGGCTCAACCCCATTGTGAGGTCTCATCCCCCACTTCTCAAGAGGGGCCTCAAGCTAATCTGGTCTGTCAGTTGTTACAGACCCCCATCCCTATCTTCATTTGCTCAAACCCTCTTTGTCCTTCAAAACCTAGGACAAGATACCAGGATACTAATTCCCATCAAGAAAGGGACCTATCCAGATTCTTAATCTCTGAGGCTCCCCCTTGGAACTTTACCTAGGGGCACTTAGAATTTTCAATCCAGATAAGGAACAAGAACAAGTCTTCCCAGAGATGCCTTGTATGGCTTTTTATGGTCACAGCACCTTAATCATTGTAAGGGCACAGTAAGTATTTATAGAATAAATCTTCTTTGAATACTTTCCCCATTCTTTGCCTTTGTACCAGCATAGCTATCTCTCCCTGGAATGCTCACCTGCCTGTGACTATCCACTAAGTCAATATCTTAACTATTCTCATCAGTAAACATATGAAAAAATGCTCAAAATCACTCCAGATTTTAAAAAATGCAAATTAGTAAAACACGGAAATATGATTGTTGTTTTCACTGATGAGATCTTCAAAAATAAAAGTTAGAAATAATAAAAGTTTGATGACATCAGTTCTGGTGGAAGTACAAGAAAATATACATGTTCACACACTGCTGATGAGAAGATAAGAGAGCAACATTTCTGGAGGACAATTTGTCAATCTGCACCTAATTTTTAAAGTTTATTTATTTATGAGAAATGGGAGGGAAGGAAAGAGATATCAATTTGTTGTTCCACTTATTTATGAATTAATTGGTTGATTCTTGCATGTGCCCTAACTGGATCAAACCTACAACCTAGGAATATCAGGACAAAATTCTTAACCAATTGAGCTTACCTAGCTAGGGCTGCATCTAATTTTTAAATGACCATGTCCCTTGACCTAGCAATTTCATTGCAAGTACACCCTTCAGATATGTTCAAAAAGTAATCCCAGACACATTTACACAAAGCAGATCTTTGACAGCATTGTTCATAAAAACAAAAAACTGAAAACAATGTAAGTGTTTAATAGGGGACGGGCTAAATAAATTATGGAGATCCATTTAAAGGAATATCAAACAATCCCTTTTATGCCAAAAAAAATTTTTTTAAGGATACCTACATGTGATGACAGATGCAGACTTTTTTCCTCCACAGATACACAAGAAACTATTAAAATGACTATTTCTGGGGACAAGAGAAATAGGTGTTTTGTTTTTTATTTATACCTTTAGATACTGTTTGAATTTTCTAATGTGTGTGTATTGCTTTCGATTATAGGCAGGTGAGAGGCTTGCAGGCCATTTATTTTCTTCTTTATATTTTTCTGAATTTCCTCTCTCATAACCATTCTAAAAATGAATATTTTTTAATCCTACCTATTTTCAAGGCTCCACATTACCTAGAACTGATCATAGGCATTAGAAAGCATATGCAGATACACTTAGTACTATATTGCATCTCCATTTTTTACCTGCTCTCTCAGATCACAACTGCCCCAGCACAATAGGCTGAATCCACTAAGCCTTTGTAAACCTCACTGGTGGTGGCTGGTTGGTATGTAGTAAGCATTCAGATAAATATCCACTGAATGAACACTAAATGGTGATGCCAATATTAATAAAATGATTCCTTTTCTCCTTTAGTCCTAGGCCAGTGATGGCGAACCTTTTGAGCTCGGCGTGTCAGCATTTTGAAAAACCCTAACTTAACTCTGGTGCCGTGTCACATATAGAAATTTTTTGATTTTTGCAACCATAGTAAAACAAAGATATATATTTTTGATATTTATTTTATATATTTAAATGCCATTTAACAAAGAAAAATCAACCAAAAAAATGAGTTCGCGTGTCACCTCTGTCACGCGTGTCATAGGTTCGCCATCACTGTCGTAGGCCATGGACTTCAAAATAAATTCAGATAATAGAGTGGATACTAGAAAATGTCTGATCACTCAACAAAGGAAAAAATGGCCCAAAGTTGGTAAGTTGCTTATCAGGAAAAAGCTTTCTGTATTAAAAACAAAGGTAAAGGTGTAGAGTTTGTTTCAAAGTTAGAGAATGTGCCAAGCCCTGATATTAAAGGAAATGGTTTCTATTTTCCATGACTGCCAAGTTGGAGGTGACCTTAGGGATCATATAATCCAGTAGCTTAAAGTTTTGTGGGTTTTTTTATTATTAAAGTAAAGGTGACATACAATATTATATTAGCTTCAGGTGGATGCTTAAAGTTTTTTGGATGCAGAATCTATTTTATTCTCTAAGTGGAAGTCTTCCAGAAAACAACGACACATAAATAACAGCTAAGTTACCTAGTTTGGGAGTTCATCTACAAAGCTCTGTTCCAGCGTGTTTATCTCCCCAAGATCTTAAATCACATGTCTGGTCCTGAATTACTGACTCCATCACTTCCCAGCTGCCTGACTTTAAACTGGTCCTTTTAGCCCTGCTGGATGTGGCTCAGTTGGCTGCGTGTCTTCTGGTGCACCCAAAGGTCAGGGCACATGCCTAGGTTTTGGGCTCCATCCTCGTTAAGGGTGTGTGCATGTGGGAGGCAACTGGTGGATGTTTCTTGCTCTCTCTACCTTCTTCTCTCTCTACAAATCAATAAAAAAAAAAAAAAAAGGGAAAAAATATTACAAAACACACAAAAACTGGTCCCTGTATTTCCCTGAACCATTTTTCTTATCTGTAAAATGGGAATAAAGCTAGTAACTAACTTTTAGGGTTAACACATAAAGCACCTAAAACAGTGCTTGGCTCAGTAAATGACAGGTATTTTAACGGTTCTTCGGCTCAGCTTCCTCACCTGTAAAATGGGATTTATAACAGTACCTACCTGAGAGGGTGGTTGCAAGGGCTCAATGAGTTCATGTACATAAAAGCACTTAGTAGTATGCTGTGCAGCACAGTAACCACAGCCACATGTAGCTATAAAGTACTTAAAAGGGCTAGGCTAATCTGAGACATGCTATAAATGTAAAATACATACCAGAATCAGAAAACTTAGTACCAAAAAGTAAAATATTTCACTGATATTTTTATGGGATTACACATTGAAATAATATTTTGATAAAGTGGATTTAAAAAACATTAAGATTAATTTCCTGTTTCTTTTAAAAAAATGTTAAAGATATTTTTATTATTGCTTTCAGAGAGGAAGGGAGAGGGAGAGATAAAAACATCAATGATGAAAGAGAATCATTGATCAGCTGCCTCCTACACACCCCACACTGGGGATCGAGCCCACAACCTCGGCATGTGCCCTGAGAATCGAACCGTGACCTCCTGGTTCATAGGTCAACGCTCCACACCAGCCAGGCTCTTTTTAATTTTTAAATGTGGCTGTTAGAAAACGTAGAATTAGACATGTGGCTTGCAATTTATTATTTTTTTAAATATATATATATTTTTTATTTCAGAGAGGAGGGAGAGGGAGAGAGATCCACAGGCCAGAAGCCTCCTGCACAAACCCCCTGGGGATGGAGCCCACCCCCGCCCCCTCCATGGGCCCCGACCCCAGAATCCAACTGTGACCGCCTGGTTCACAGGTCAACGGCCAACCACTGCGCCACACCGGCCGGGCTGGCCACTTGTTTCTGTGAGACGCCGCCGCCTGAGAACACGCCGGGCATGACAACAGTCAGCACTTGGTGAGAACCTGGTAGGCGGTGGGGGGTGCGGCGGGGAGAGAGGCCCGGTGGGGGCCGAGCCGTCCCTCTGCAGCGGCGGGGAGAGGGGTCACGTTAGCGGCCTTGGCGGCCGCACAGGGGCATCAACCCGCACAGGCGGGCGGCCCCGGGCCGGGAAGGCTGCACCCTCCAGGCCGGCCCTGCTGCAGTGACGGCACCGGGCTTCTGCCTCCGGACCACCAGGCGGTTCCCAGCTGGGGGTGTGGGCGGGGCACGTCCTCACCCGCCCGGCGCCCGGCCCCCGGCCCCCGGCCCCCGGCCCCCGGCCCCCGGCCCCCGGCCCTCAGCCCCCCGCCCCAGGCCGGCCCGGCGACTCCCGACGAGCCCCGATTCCCGGCCCCGCCCCGCTCCCTCGGGCAGCGAGGACCCCTCAGTCCCTCCCGGGCCCCAAACCGCTCCGCCCCCAGGCCTCCCAGCGCCCTCGGCCTGTTACTCAGTCCCCACACTCCCTTCAGCCTCCAGACGCCCTCCTCTGGGACCCCGCCAACTCTGCTCGTCCCGGAAGTGCCCCCCCAGCCCTCGGCCCCCCAAGCTCGCCTCGGCCCCCAACGCCGCTCAGCCGCTCCCCGAGTCGCCACAACGCACCCCGGACGCGGCTCGGTCCGGTTTCCCGAAACGCTCCCGACGCCAGGCGGCCCGCACCCCCCGGCGCCCCCGCGGGCCCCCGCCCGGCCCACCTGCGCGCCCAGCTGGTTCAGCTGCTGCATGTCGCCGCCCACCGCCTCCGGCACCGGGCCCTGCGTGCAGTGCAGGCGGCCCATGGCGTCCTCCGCCCGCGGACTCGTAGCTCCGCCGCCCCCCGCTTCCTCCGCGCCGCTTCCTCCTCGCCCGCCGCCGCCTCGCCGCGCTTCCGCAGCCGCACTTTCGCCACGGCCCCCGCCGCCTCGCTCCTCCCCCGGCGCCCGCCCCGCAGAGCCGTGGACCCGCGCGAACTCCCGGGCGTGGGGCGGGGCGCCTGGGTGGCCGCGGCGCCCGTGGATGCCCCGGAGCTTCCCGCGGTCAGACGAGGGATCCCGACCGGCTCTCCCGCTGGGGGCCCCGGGCGCAGCCGGGCCTGGCGAGCCCCAGTGTCACGGTCCCTAAGGTGACCCGGGGGCGGCTATTCCCCTGAGTGTTGAGAACGCAGCCCGCCGCACAGGAGGCCCTGCTGCGGTCGCTGTCGTCGCTGTTCGGCAGGTTCTCACCGCCGGTGCCTCCGGGGCCGGGCCCGTGACCGGGAAGTGACAGCGCGGCCCGTGCCCCCGGGGGCTTTCTCGGAGGAGCGAGGGCCGTGGGTCGCAACCTGGAACTTGCATCAGCATCTGCATCAGCATCTTCGGGGGGACGGGGGGGGGGAGAGGGGGGTGCTCCAGGCAGATGAGGGGTCCCATCCCCGGAGTCTCAGATTAGAAAGGCTGGGGTGGAGCCTGGGAGTTTGCCTTGCCCACCAGCTCCCTGGGACCACACTTGGGGAACTGACTGACCTAAAGGACTTTGTGCCAGCGCTGCCCTGGCCCCGGTCGGGAGGCAACCAACCAACACATCCCTGTTTCTCTCCCTTACACTCTCTCTAAAAAAACACAACAATGGAAAATATCAGGTGAGGATGAACAAAACACACAAGTGCAAGGGCGGTGGTAGTGGCAGGGAGGGCAGTGGTCAGGTGGGGGGAGGAGGTTCCTGGGACAGTTGCTAATCACTGCAGCCCTGTGAACCCCCAGGCTCCCTGCCCAAGGACCCCTCGAATTCTCCAGCTCCCCGCTGGGAAATGGAGGCATGCTTTGCAATCTAGGACCTCAGCTCCAAGCCCAAGAGCTTCTTCACCTTCTTTGCGGGTATGAACAAGATGTCTCCCACCCAGCCCTGGCTGGTTTGGCCCGGTTGATAAGAGTGTTGGCCTGCAGACTGAAGGGTCCCGGGTTCGATTCTGGTCAAGGGCACATGCACGGGTTGCGGGTTGGACCCCCAGTAGGGGGCGCAGCCAATCAATGATTCTCTCAAATTGATGTTTCTTTCCCTTCCTCTCTGAAATCAATAAAAATATATGTTTTTAAAATATGTCTTCTACCCAGAGGCTAAGCTCCTCCCATTTAACCATTATTTCATTCATGCATTCATTTAACAAATACTATTGAGTGCCTACTGTGAGGCAGATGCCAGGGCAGGTGCTGGGAGACCTTGTGACAAAACCAGATGCAGAGCCTGGCCTGTGGGAAGTGAGTTTGGTCAGGAAGGCATACCCACACATGAAATCCATGTGTGTGTGGAATCATTAACTGATGCCAAGAAGTACTAAGTGTTTCCAAGTTCAAGGTACCTGGAAGAGAGTAAGCCTTCTAGTCACAGACAGACAGGGAGTGAACTCAGACTTCCTGACTCACTATCCAGGAATTTTTATTTTAAAATATTTTTTAATCTTTTAAAAAAGATCCCTGTCAGAGCATTATATTTACTTATATCTTTAAGTGTTAAATCAACTTTGTTTGAGTTAAGATTTATATACAATGAAATGCACCCATTTAAAGTGTGTTTCTTTAAATTATTTTAGCCTTTTTTTTTTCTTTTTTAAACATCCTTGAGGAAACCACTGGATTTCCTTTATTTCTACTCCTACAGTGATGGGTGCTGAGCCACTTAATAAATATTTGTGGGCCCTGGCCGGCTTGGCTCAGTGGATAGAGCATCGGCCCTGCGGACTGAGGGGTCACGGGTTCGATTCTGGCCAAGGGCACATGCCTGGGTTGCGGGCTCCATCCCCGGTGTGGGGTGTGCAGGAGGCAGCCAATCAATGGTTCTCTCTCATCATCGGTGTTTCTCTCTCTCTCCTTCTCCCTTCCTCTTTGAAATCAATAAAGAAATATATTTAAAAATAAATAAAAATAAATAAATAAATATTTGTGGAATTTGATCAGCTTATGTGACAGAAAACAGAGAAAAGGAAAGAAATTCATTTGAAACTGTAGGCCAACACTGCAATGAGTAATTATTATCATATAGTCTTTTTCCAATAACAGGTCATTGGGGTTTCAGTGATTTGTCTTGTTTTTATATATTCAGGGCTCTCCCACACCCTGAATTCAAAATGCTGTCCTCGCACCAGCAGTAAGGACATTACCTGAGGCCTACCCTAGACCTGCTGATTCAGGATCTGCATTTTTAACAAGATCTCCAGGTGATCACTGGGAACATTTAAGTTTGAAGTACAAATAATGAGCATTTTTTAAATGCCTGTCCTGTATAGGGTTTTATTTTAAGCACCCAAATATGTAGCATGTATAATGTTAATACTTTGCATTGCCTACCTATTGTTGCCCATATTATATTAATGTTAATACTTATCACATTGTGTTATTGCTGTTGTTTACACATTTGTCTCCCCCACTTACTAATTATGTTGTCTTGGGCAAATTACTAACCTTTCTGTGCCTCCATTTCTTTTCACAATTGTAAAAAAGAAGATATGTAATAGAACCTACTAGACAAGATGAAATGAGATAATATTTGTAAAACAGCACAGCAACTGGCCCATGTTAAGTGCTCAATACATCTTTGTTATTATTATTCCAATTTTCCAATCGTATAAACAGAACAAGTCAAAAAGCATCCCTGCACACAATTCTTTTGCCATATCTGATTGTTTCTTTGGGAGAAACTCCTAGAAGGGTCAAGGGATACTATGTTCCCAGGTTCTGGGTTCAAAATAGCACAAGGATGGACAAACTTTCAAAGTAGGGAGAGGCTAGGCCATAACTGATCTCTCTGAGAACATCAAGAAATTAGCATTTCAGCCTGAACAGGCACCTGGCAGCAGGTTGATCCTGCCCACAACCCACATCCCCTGAGCCCCAAGGAGAAGTTCAAGTGCTCTAAAAGAAGGCCTCAGACTCTCATACAACACCGTTCTTGGCCTCATTGTAAGTAGTACAAAAACATCATAAAATGCCACTGCATACCCACATAGAATTCCCATGGTTGCCTATTTAGGTCTTTATGATTTTTCAGTTTTATTAACAATGTCTCAAATGACAAAAACAGTAGATAAAAATGGTGTTTCCAACATTCTCGTTCACAGTCCACTCTTGGATAAAGGAAAGAGCAGTGATTACTGCTAATGTGACATTGTAGCAGGAAATGCAGACCTGGGGCCAGGCCACCCTTCTAAAGAACCCTGCCCCCAACAGTTCCCATTTCATCCTTAATGAGGGACCTTGCTCCCTTCATTCACTTTAAAATGTCCCTGAAGAAAGCAAAGGAACCCTCCCTCCCCCAATCCCTGCAAGTGAAAGAAGTTCATTAAGAAGTCCTTTCTCAGGCGTGAGGATTCCTGCTGGGAATTTCACCAAGGGGCCAGATTCTCTCTAGGAGAAGGGTTGTCCCTTCACTGTAAAATGCCAAAGGACAGTTTTAAAAAATGAAACTTTTTATTTTGAAATAATTGTGATTCATATACAGTTGTTAAAAATCATACCAGAGGTCTCTGTCCCCTTCACTCAGTTTCTCTCAAGGCATAGATCCCATTTCGCAAAGCTATAGTACAGTCACTCTCACAACCAGGAGATTGACATTGAAACAGGTGAGATACAGAAGGATCCTGTGTGTTGCTCAAGGGCATTTTTTATTTAAAAATTTTAAAGTTGACATCATTGAAGGTATCCCTCTTTTCCCCCCTTTTGTCCACTTCCATTCACCCCCAACTCTCCCTCCTTTGGCCTTCACCAAACTATTGTCTGTGTCCAGGCAGTATGCATATATGGTCTTTAGTTCATCCCTGCACCTTCTTTATCCAGTTTCACAATACTGGATATCAAACTATACCACAAGGCCATTATAATCAAAGCAGCCTGATACTGGCATAAGAACAGGCATATAGACCAATGGGACACAATAGAGAGCCCAGAAATCAACCTACGCCTCTATGGTCAATTAATATTTGACAAAGGAGTCAAGAGCATATAATGGAATATAGTTTCTTCAATAAACAGTGCTGGGAAAACTGGGCAGGCACATGCAAAAAAAAAAAAAAAAGAAAAGAAAAAAGAAAAGAAAAGAAAAAGATAGAAAGAAAAGAAACTAGACCACCACACACAAGAATAAGCTCAAAATGGATAAAAGACTTCAATGTCAGTCACAACACCATGCAAATCCTAGAAGAAAACATAAGCAATAAAATCTCAGCTATCTCTCACAGCAATATTTCTCCGCTGTATCTCCAAGGGTAAGGAAAACTCAGGAAAAGATAAAAAATAGGACTACATCAAGCTAAAAAGCTTCTGCACAACAAAAGAACCATTAATGAAAGAAAAGAGAACCCACAGTATGGGAGAACATATTCGACATCTGATAAGGGATTAATTTTCAAAATATATAAAGAACTTATACAACTCAACACTAGGAAGCCTAAGGACAGAAGAGACAAATTCCAGGTCCTCTTTTACCAAAAACAGAAAACAAAACAAAAATTATGGATATTTCTATGATTCCATCTATCTAATCATACCTTCCATATTAGCTCCTTTAGTATAAAAGCACATATCAAACACACAAAATTACAGTTGGCCTAGACTTTTCAAAACACTGATGTCATGAAAGTCATCAACAAAGGAAGTCTGGGGAATTTTTCCAGATTAAAAGAAACTAAAAAAGACAAGTTAACTAAATGCAATGTATGATCCTGGAGGAGGTACAAAATTGCTATAGAATATATTCTTGGCACAACAATGTGAATATGCTTTACTAAACTTACACTAAAATGGTAAATTTTATGTTATGTAGGGTTTTTTATCACAATTTTTTAAAAGGACATTATTGGGACAATTGATGAAATTTGAACACAACTATAGATTAGACAAGAATATTGTATCAATGTTTAATTCCTGAATTTGATAATTGTATT